TTCCAACAGGTAAGAAACTGGGTAACAAACCTCTACAATGCTAAAGAAAAATCTTGCTAATGTGTTTTTCAAATGTTTATTTTGTATTAAAACAATCCCATTTAAAAATATGTGATTTAAAATAATAAAATAAAATATGTGAAGATTATTAAAAATTAGAACTATCCTATTTTCAGGCCTAATTATACCAGCTGTCTTCTTGTTTATGTGATCTGAAAAACAACCCCATAGCTTTAGAATACACTATTTCTAAAGGAAATCATCAAATGCTAGTATTAGCACAATGGAGTTTTAATTACTTTCTGTTTATCTGTTTGTAAGTAAACTTAAAAACCTGGTATTTTTTTTTCCATTGACAGAATTTAGTTCTTCTTTCTTGATACATTTAATGTGTTATTATTTTAAAGAATTAAAAACCTCAACATCCCTATAATGATAAGCTCAGTCATTAACCTTCACAAAAAATTAAAGCCAATTCAGACAATCTGTGTTGGCTTGATTTTAAAAGTAACTATTAGACTTTTGAAGATGAAATGTGTATATTTTTCACTAACACTTTTTGTGGACTCAGGCAATTGTCAAATTCAAGGAAAAATGGATAAACTATCTCTAGCAGAGAAAATCAAAGTACATGTAATAAAAGAACAGATGAGTCAAATGTTATCCCCAAATCTCAAGTGTGCAGCACACACTGTTGCAATACATAAACATGAAATTGTATTTTTTGGAATGGGTGAATAGTTAACTAGGATAAGGAATTTGCATGATGTGGAATAACTAGGCCAATTACACTTTTAATAAGGCTGAAAGAGAGTAGGCATTTGTTTCTTGATGCTTCTTGTGGTTACTTAATATAGTCCTTTGTTCTTAGGGAATGCTCTAAAATGTATCTTTACGGAGATTCTAGATCTATCTGTTTTCATGGGGGACAAAAGATTAATTTAATTGTTTTTTTAATATGACATGATGACATAAACTAGCAATATTACTTTGCATGTGGTTTAAAAAGCAGAAGTCCTGGCTCTGCTACTAACTATACAACCATGAGAAAGTCACTGGGTCTTAGTTGCTAGTGACTTAGTTGTCTACTCCAGATAGAATTAAAGTATCATTCCTATCAAAAGTAAAGGACCACTGTAGAGATCAAGTGAGACAGAACTTGTCAGCACTTAAATTCTTGAGTGAATTAATGAATGGGGTAATATTTTAAAAAATCATTAAGCTCTGCAATGGGGGAAAAATGAGACATATGTAATACTTTCAACAATAAAGAATTTTTAAAAAATCATTAAGCTCTAAACAAGCATGAGGTGTTATTTGTATAAACACAACCATAGAATCTATATTCTTAGAGGTTTAAAAAAAGGAGAGAGAGTTCTAGTGGGTGGGGGGGAGAGGGGATGCTAGCAGTGTGGTCTTGTTGTGTTTTGGGACCCTTACATACATACTTGGGGAGTGGGAATATAGAAAATTTCACTTTGCACAAAGCCACAGACTCCCTGAAGTTACATAAAGAATTTTTTAATATAAAAGAAATAGAAAATGTCCTACTCACCTGCTTTTATTTTTTTTAATATATTTTTATTGATTTCAGAGAGGAAGGGAAAGGAAGAGAGAGATAGAAACATCAATGATGAGAGAGAATCATCCATTGGCTGCCTCCTGCACCCCCACACTGGGGATTGAGCCCGCAACCTGGACATATGCCCTGACTGGAATCAAACTGTGACCTCCTGGTTCATAGATCAACGCTCAACCACCAAACCACACCGGCCAGGCTACTCACTTGCTTTTAATATTAAGAGCAAGAAATACAGAAATTTCTTGTAGTTTTCCAGGTCAAAACACCACAGCACCAAATGAAATATAATACATAATCTAACATATACTTTAGTTTTTCTGGGTTATGGATAATTAAGGGAAAAGGTGAAATAGAAGAAAATGAGACAACAGATAGGTAGAAAGAGAAGAAAACTATGAGAGGTAAAGAAAAAAACACAGAGAAACCAAAGGACAGACACATGAACTCTATCCCTAACCCTACACACTCCCCCAAAAAGGAGTTATTGGAATAGAGACATAGGAAAGGACACACACTAACAAGAAGACATTCAGAAACAAAAAAAAATATGCATCTATTTATTTACATGGTGGAGTAATGCTCTTATTTCAGTCATCTTGAAACTCTGAAACAAAGAGTACCAAAAAATGTGTAATGTAATATTGTACTTTTACACAAAAGTACAAGAACCAGTTCAAGGCATCTACCTCATGAGCTAGATACAATGAAGTTGAAAGTTTAAGATTACCAACCTCTGCCATTTGCTAAACTTATTTTTGGGCAAAATATCAATTGGTAACTTGAGATCTCACATTCCTGGTCATTTCCAACCAAATAAACCAAAGATGAACTTTCCTAAAATAAAAATGTATCCCAACATTTTGTTTATGAATCAAAGCCTGGCATTATTTTGCTTCCAGATAGGCAGTGTTCAATATTATAACTTAATAGATATTAATTATGTAAAGTGGAAATCCCACATTGCCATTGAAAGTCTATATTGGGGTTTTCCTGTTAATCTTCTCTGTATTGTGTAGAAGGCACTGGATAATGTAAACTCCAGCACTCCCCTTTGATTCTTTCCCACATGAGGCCCATTAGACCCTTTTCTGACTTTTCTGAGCTCTATAGCAACTTATAGACTGGGGAGCTAATTTGTACTTTGCTACTAATCAACACAGAGAGTAAGGGGGCTCTACAAAGTTACAGACCTGCTGTTACAGGGAGATGAGTGATTCCCATTCACTCAGCCCAGACAACCCAGATCAACAAGAATGGGCAACACAGGGGTTCCCACTGTTTATTCCCATCTCTATTACCAATCTGCTAGGAGCTCTGCAAAACTGTATGAATTTCCATTTCTGTAAAGAGAAATCTATTATTCAGACCTACCTTTGCAGGATTCATAGGAAGCATTTCTTTCTTGTAGACAATAAGGGCTGGAGTGGGGGGAAGAGAGTACAAGACTCTGCTGCTTTTGTTTGGCTTTAGCTAAGCTCTAGGACCTTTCTGTACTTTGGTTTTGGTCTACAAAATGGATTAAATATAATTTTTAAAAAAACACAATCCCACCTCTTGCCAGCAAATCTGATGTTGGAGAAATAAATAGTACTGCAGATATGAAAGCACTCGTGGCTCTCTGGAGGACTCAACAAGGATAATAACAATACTAATAAGCACTTGAATTTGCACAGTGTTTAAGTTTATAGGATTTTTTAACATATTATTTCATTGGTTCCTATACCAAAGTGTAAAAGAGGGAGGACATTTTTAAAAATTTCATTGGAAAGATGAAGAAATTGAGGCCCAAAATCAAAACAGCTAGTTAGTAACAGGACTGACAGAAGTCTAGTGCTCATTCTAGCCTACCAAACTGTACATGTAGTTATTGCCTATTTCCTTTTCATTCCTTTTTTCCTCCAAGTGAAGCTTGCTTGGTAGAAGGTCTCTAATAAACAATCAAAGCTTTCTATTTCTCATTTATAGTTCTGGTCCACTGACAGTCATAAAGAACTTAAATCTGTCTTGACATTCCCCTTCAGCCAATACCTGTAAACTCTAGGGCTGCTGAACCCCTGAATCATCCAAGCCCTAAACCTTCATTTCAAAAACCACTGTTTTTTATTTTAAATGTTGCTATTTCTACTTACCACTGTACCACATCTGAGCCATAGATAATTTCCTTGGGTCTTTCTTTATAAAATATATTGTCCTTATCAACAGTTTCTATTAACCTGTGGTATTTTTATGGTGTTCCTTATTGTTAAAAACATGACAGACATAGGTATTCTTAAGGTTATTTCTTTGCAATAAGAATCTGCTAAGCCTTTGAACTCAGAGAGAATGTGAAAGCAAGCCAGGGTAATTTCAAACAGCAAATAAAAGTCTGTTCTCTTTCATTACTATTGCTCAGCTTCCTTTATCAATGTTATTTATGTTTTCCTCAAATTCCTAAAGAATAAAGCAAAATGAAGGGTATTTTTTGCCTTTGCCCTTTTCAGTGTGTCCTCTTTGGGCCAGAAATCTAAGCACTAAGAATGGCAGGGGGATCACCATGCCTATTGTATATCCTGGTATGAATAATTCCACTGAATATGACCACCCTAAGCCATGCTCAACCATAGGATCAAGGCCCCTTTTCCTCTAGAAGTCAGAAGAAGGGAGGGAGAATTGGAGAATGCTTTCTAAATAAAATTAATTCTGAGTAATAGCTCACTAAGCACTAGCTTACCCCTTTGCCTTGATCTCCAGAATCTGAGCTGTGTACCTAGAAACTGCTTGTGCAGAGTATGGCTTTAGCTCCAGAGAATGGAAGAAGTACCAAAAGGAGGAGTCATATGCTATTCCATACCAGGCATGATCTGTGGCTCTAGGCCCCCCCTCTCCCCAAGAATAGACTAGCTCTGGGCAAGGGAGATGACAAATTTTATTCAGCACACATACACTGAACACCTACTCTATGCGCTATGTTGGGAACAAATTCAGTTGCATGTTTTCATTTAATTCTTATAATGACCAAACAGACATTTTTATCCCCATTTTACAGATAATAAAATTGAGCAGAAAGGCTAATTAATTTATGCCAAAGTCATACAGACACCAAGTTGTGATGCTTCAACTGGAACTCAACTCCAAACATACTGCTTCTGGCCTCCACAACACACACACACAAGACCGAAGGTGACAGGGATGGAAATGTATATTTGGGCTGCCTTATACAGTTGACAGGATGCTGTCACATATCCTTATTCATCAGCTCTAAAAACTACGCTGGTAGAACAAAAATAAAGCACTCTGAGATGACAGGAAGGCCAGGATATAGAGAGACACTGGATATCTACCTATGTCCTCTCAGGGAAACTGTCCCACCTATAGAACTGTCCAGTTTGTTAAGAACTTACATTAATATTCTGCATTATGTTTAATTTTTTAGGATTTTAAGAGCATACTCAAGTCATTCATGCATTTTCATCAAGCACAGACAAAGATCAACGAAGATTAAATCCTACTAATTACTCCTTGGAAGTCTCAGAGCAAGTACTTCCCAAGAACTGGTGGTCAAAATATTCCCCCACAAAACAAGTAAGCTTAGAAAAGCTTTCTCATAACCCTAACAAAATGGAACTTTCTTTAAACCATTCAACACCTAACAAAACCAATATAAAGAGCAACAACTCTGAATTTTTCTACTTTGAGTCCTGTCCACCCCCTTCTCTAGCCTTGCTCCTATTACTCATAGCCTACACTGTGGTCTTAATTGTGGGCCTTTCTGGAAACCTCTCTCTCATCATTATCATCTTCAAGAAGCAAAGAGAAGCTCAGAATGTCACCAACATACTGATTGCCAATCTCTCTCTCTCTGACATTTTGGTATGTGTTATGTGCATCCCTTTTACTGTCATCTATACTCTGATGGACCACTGGATATTTGGAGATACCATGTGCAAACTCACTTCCTATGTACAGAGTGTCTCCATTTCTGTATCCATATTCTCACTTGTGTTAATTGCTGTTGAAAGATATCAGCTGATTGTGAACCCCCGTGGCTGGAAGCCCAATGTATCTCATGCCTACTGGGGTATCACCTTGATTTGGCTGTTTTCCCTTCTGTTGTCTATTCCTTTCTTCCTGTCCTACCACCTCACTGATGAGCCTTTCCACAACCTCTCTCTATCCACTGACTTCAATACTCACCAGGTGGCCTGTGTAGAGAACTGGCCCTCCAAAAAGAACCAGCTCCTCTTCACTACCTCCCTGTTTATGCTCCAGTATTGTGTCCCTCTGAGCTTCATCCTCATCTGCTACTTGAAGATTATTATCTGCCTCCGTAGGAGAAATGGAAAGGTAGACAGAAAGAGAGAAAATGAGAGCCGGCTCAATGAGAACAAGAGGATCAACACAATGTTGATCTCCATTGTGGTGACGTTTGGGGCCTGCTGGTTGCCCTTGAACATCTTCAATGTCATCTTTGACTGGAATCATAACGTGTTGATGACCTGCCACCATGACTTGGTATTTGTGGTTTGCCACTTGGTTGCTATGGTTTCTACATGCATAAACCCCCTCTTTTATGGTTTTCTCAACAAAAATTTCCAAAAGGACCTGGTAGTGCTTATTCACCACTGCTGGTGCTTTACACCTCGGGAAAGATATGAAAATATTGCCATCTCCACTGTGCACACAGATGAATCTAAGGGATCATTAAGATTGGCTCCTACATCAACAGGTATATAAAAATTGTTAACACTTAATACTAAAGCCCTTCTTGAATGGGAGATGAAGAGTTAATGGATGAGGATAGGGCAAGATTCATAAAGAAGAAGCCAAAACCAAATAATTAAAAAAGCAACTTCATACTACCCAGTTTTGTTTTAGGCCAAACCTATCTGTCATCTCTCTCTCTCTCTCTTCCTCTCTCCTGCCCATCTTCCCTTCCTCTCTCCTTCTCTCTCTCTCTCTCTCTCTCTCTCTCTCTCTCTCTCTCTCTCTCTTATCCCTCCCTCTCTCCCTCTTTCCCCCCCCATCTCATACACACACCCCACTCCTTTTGTCTTAGGAGAATAACTCAAGCAACTTAGCTTCCATCATTTGTAGCAAAGAATGAAAGTGAAAAAGCAAGAGAGGTAAGCAGTGCCAACTGCTGGAGAACAAAGTTCCCAGATACTATTATTCAATGGAATATCCACAGAGTCATTACTAATGATATGTCTAGTAAAAACAATGCTTTAGTGTTGAAGCAATTTCTTATGGATATGGAAATTATAACTTTCAACCATGTAACTGGCAAACTCAGAAAGCCCCCATCATAATTTATTAATTAGCTAACAAAATAAGTATGGATTGAAAATTAAAGGAACGGTTTGAACTTAATATTTAAACTAAGTATTACAATTATCATTTATTCCAGTAACTAAATCAGATTCTTTAGTTTATGATAACACCACATTTTCTTCACTAACAATGCTATTAGCACCACTAGAACTGGCCACAAACTCTTTTACATTCCAATTATACTAAAAATCACATTGACTAATTTATTAATGGCCAATGTAGATAGAACCTTCATTTCAGAATGGCTTTTTATCCTTAATTCTTTATGCATATTAAGTAGAGGTCATTATGACTCTATCATTGGGCCTGAGGGAAGTCACAAGTAGCACTTCTATAATTAGCACCAAATTTTTTAAATCTCTTGTAAATGTTATGACAAAGATTTTTTAAAATCCCTCATCCCCACAGTCACTTATTTTGGAGAATTAGCTATATTGTTTTCAAAAGGATACCAAGCTACTGTTCAAATAGCCATTGGCTCAGTGACTCCCACTAAATCATGACCAGCTTTACATCTTTTGATAACTATCCCTTATACTATTACATTTGAGGTGCAGCCTACTTATATGTTTAAAATGTAACTGTATTTTCTTTTTTCTTTTGAATAAAAAATGTTTCCCTGAATACCTGTGATTTTTCCATTGTGTTTTTTTTATTCTTGCACATTAGCCATGTTTTCCACTCCTGAAAGATCTCTTTGTCTCTCTCCCTCTCTTTTTTTAAAAATTATTTTTTAAAAGATATATTTTTATTTATTTCAGAGAGGGAGGGAGAGAGAGATAGAAACATCAATGATGAGAGAGAATCATTGATCGGCCACCCCTTGCACTCCCCCTGCACGCCCCACACTGGGGATCGAGCCCACAACCCAGGTATGTGCCCCTACCAACCAACCTCCTGGTTCATAGGTAGATGCTCAACCACTGAGCCACGCTGGCTGGGCACTCCCTCTCTCTCTTTTTGCTCTCCTCTCCTCCTCCCTCCCTACTCTCTCCGTCTTTTCCTTCTCTTCAGGATTTCTATTCTCTCTGTTATATCACTTTGGGAAAAATTAATAGCAAAGGCATCACAAGACACTAAAATGAAATGAAATGTAACAGTCTCACAAAATTAGCTGCAAATAAAAACTCTTATCTAAAAACCAATTCAAATGATGTCAACTTAGAATCTTAAAGGTACAGGACTATAGTCACTTAGACCAGAAAGCAGTCAACTCTCCCTAGATATGTTTTCTAACTCTTTTGACAGACAGTGATTAGTGCTATAGTTAATGGAATATCTTACTTGATAAAGATATATTGATTCTAGTTTCCATTACTACAATGATTCTGATCAAGCCACTGAAAGCAGGAACGAGTTTTCATCAAACTCTGCTACTAGCCCCTCTCCTGACCCCTACATATATACCCAGGCTCCTGCAACCCTGGTCCCTACACTAACATTAAGAAGAAATCTCTAATCTATGATTAAATATTATGGTGTTCTTTCTGGCTCCATGAGAAGAGATTTTTTGTTTTCCTATAAAACTGTTTTATCTTTTTTCCTGAACTTTCCTTGAGCTCGAATGAAACAAAAGTCATTAATGATATAACTATCAATAATAGTCTTTCTTGTGTTTATTTTTATCTCAAAAAAGTAGTGAATTAAATCTACTTTTTAATGAATGTCTTTATCCTTAAAGGGCTTACATTCTGACAGGTAGTAGAGCACAAGTCAGTAAGTAGCTATTTGAGAAGGTATAATGGAAATATAAACAAAGTGTTGTAAGGGCCCAGTGGGGGTAAAACTCATTTTTGAGAGAAAACAAGGAAAATTTTCAGGAAAGTCAATCTTATTTTCTGTTTTTGCAATATTTGTGGATGGTTCACACCAATATGGTCTACTGTTGAACCTCTTAGTAAATAAAATAAGGCCTCATTTTCTCACTGGCCTCTCCCCAGTTGTTACATGGACCTGTATTCTCCTTTCTAGGACTCCCTGTGATATTGGAACTTCATGATGTTTGCTAGATAGCTCTAAAAATCCAGTTTCCTCTAGTCAGTGTTCCAAAAATCTGTTCCTCTATCCCCTTACCTCAAATCATTTTGGATTGAAAGTAGTATCCTATCTTTAAAGTTTCCAGAAAAGATGACTATTAGTGGATGAATAAATATTTATCACCTCAAAAAATTAGTGTAAATTAACTGTATTGAATGTGTCTGTCCAGTGAACCAGAGCTGAATGAGAAATGCTAAAAACATTCTTGCAATAAGTTCTTTAAGTTTTCTTTCTGCCTATTTCTAAAGATTTCCCAGGAGTAATACTCAACAATTTCTAACAGAATGAGCAATACAAATGATTCAAAATAAGGAATAACCAAATGTGTTTTAAATGTGTATGGTCCATTTTAAATGTGTATGGAAGTGTGATGTTCTGAAAAAGGTGTAAATAACTTGACAGGTCATCATGAAGCTTCAACTCAAAGAAGTTGCTCCCCACTCTATGCTGAGCATGAACAGCGAGTTCATTAGTCCAACGAAAAGAGTCAATCTCTCTTCCTATAAGCTTTGTTTTTTTGTAGAAGAAAATCAAGAAAAAATAGATTAAGTTCTTACTATGTACTCAGCACTGTGTTAGATATAAAAAAGTGTAAGACGTAGCCTTAAAGAGTTTACAATTTAGTTATGGCTTTAAAAGAGTTTACAGTATACCAGGGGGATAATTCAGTGTCTTAGTTTTGAAGGCTTTCCTGCTGGTTAGGTTGAAAATTGCCTAAAGGAAAGTTGAGAATAACTGAAGGCAGAGTTAATATCAAATGAGAATTCAATTTATCTTTATATCCATAAGTGAGAATATACTGGGAAGAGAAAAGGAAATATACTAGATGAAGGGCAAGGGGGAATATTTCAAGACTGATATGACCAGGAATACCTAAAATCCTCCCTGAAGTCATCTAGGCAGCAAATGTGTTCACTCAATAAACTGGAGAAAGAAGACAAGGGATATTTCCAGTGGGCTAATGAAGGCAAAGCAGGTCTCTTTCCCCTGGTTCTGTGCCCAAATCAAACTCCTTGTTGAAGCTGGGATAGTGGCTCCCCTGCAGGAGAACTGAAAGGATGTGTGGTGCTGGTGACAGGAAAGCATGCATCTTACATCTGGTCATTGACTGTTTCCTGCTACTCTCTATTTCAGATAGATAAATCTGTTCTCAACTAGACTGTGAACTTTCAGAGACCATGACCTATATCTTTTATTCCATCTGTATCAGCCCCTCACTGCCCCCTTAGAATGGTTAAGATAGGACTAGGCAAGGGAAAAGCATTTAACACATATAGATTTTAAAAGTTACCTCTTAAAAAACAAGTTAGGCAGTACTTACTGAATGCCTGAATGTTTTAAACCTATATTTTATTAATTATTCAATGAGAGTATAAAAATACAATCCTAATTATACGGAAATTATAAGTAATATCATTAAGCTGCAAAATCCTGGGTCCTTCAGTACTAAGCATAAATGTTTCTTAATAACCACCTCTGATCCCCAAGAGCTATTAGGACTCCCTGGTCACCGTTTTCATAGTACCCCTTGTATACCTATCATGTAAAACCATGAAGGCCCATTTACATGTGTGTCTGCTTCACCAGACATGATCTCTTTGAAGGTAGGGAATGGGTCTTATTCATTGTAGTGGCTCTAGTGCCAAGTAGAGCATTTAGCACAAAGTGGGGGCTCAATCAATATTTTCAAACTGTTCATGTAGAATAAATCTAGGGATAACAAGTCTTTGCTTGGAAGTGGTGGGTGGACCTGAATAGTAAGCGGGGCCTGAACTCCCTGGATCAGTACCTGAAGCAGCAGAATGTCAAATTCCAACTGAAATATAAGAGCCAGTGTTCAGGAAATCTGCACTCGCAGGAAGACAAATACAAACATGCCTTGGTTCCAGAGGAAGCTCAAGGGCAAAGTGTGCTTTTGTGGCTCAAATGCTATTTGCCAATAAGTGTGTGCCAATAAGAGCAAACTGGCAGGTCCAGAGAATGAACAAAATGCTCTATCAATTCCCAATTAACTAAGTTGACAGGTTTTAGGAGCTAACAGCTTTTAGAAATGGAAGGTCAGACTTCTAGGCCAACCAGTCTCCAGGAGAGTGGGCCCCATTATTATTCTATTAGAAGAAAAACCAGACTCTCCATAAAAGACTGAGGCAGGGAAAAACTTAGTCTTTTTCAGTGAGCCAGATTCTTCTATTTAACTAAGGGAACATAAAACCTGAAAGCCAAAGTCATTGAGTTATTGATTTAGAGGCAATCTTCCTCATCCTGGGATCCCAGAAGAAAGCTTCTATGATTTAGTTTGTATGTGTGTGTGTTTTACAGCAACAGGAGTCCCTGACTCCAGTTTTATACCTTTATGTTTCCTGCAATTTAAAAACAAAGACAAATGTGTCTGAGCATATGTGTGTGCATACACATTTGTGCATAGCACCTAAAAATATTTCTAAAAGGAAATATTCCAAAATGTTATGTGTTTATTCCCCAACGATAAAACTTTGGGTCACGTATCTCCATTTCTTTTTCCCTTGTTC